AACATAAAAAAAAAAAAAAAAAAAAATCACAGACACTATTGCCAAACTATCGTCAGCGGTCTCTAAGGACATGGAAAAGATAATAGTTATAATCCCACAGTCCCCAAACTGTGGAGAAAAAAAAACACCATGACGCATTGGCATTCCCCAGGCAAGCACATCCCTGACATCTGTGGGGCTGAGAGCAGAGCCTGAGCCGCGGTAGTTCACAGTTCCAACAATAGATAGCACTACGTTCCTTCCAATGGCACCAGGTCTTTGTGAAGCTGGCTGTGCTAGGATCAAAAAGCAAGGACCACGTGAAACTCCAGAAGGAGCAGGAAGGAAAGCAGGCTCCCTTCCCGTGCACCCCCCAGTTAGCAGTCCTCTGAGCCCCCCATTCAATGCGTCAAGCTCCTCTGAAGGCAGCAATCCTGTCTGATTTCTTTTTCATCAATTTTTACCTCTGCGGATCCTGAGCTTCCAACTTTGCACAGTGCTCTGCAAGTTCTCTTAAACGCAAACCTAAAACGCCAGCGACAGCAACCGCTGACAGTTGAAGGAAGATAGATGCCCAGCACTAAAGATCACAGTTTTAAAGAGAGAAATCAAAATGAGTGTGTCCAGGGAAGAATAATTAGGAATATGAATGTTTTTGCAAAATTATTCAAAAGTGGAAGCATTGGAAAAGATCAAGAATATTTAGCTCAGAGAAGAAAAGACTTAACATGAAGTGTCTGCCACGACTCTGAAAAGTAGGCCAGTGCCCAGGGCCCAGGCTCCCGGGTTTGCCCGAGGTGGGATTCCTAGGCCGTAGCCAGAAGGGCGGCTGATGCCAGTATTGTCACCCAAAAGGCGTGGCAGAACCAACCAAATATGCTAAGATTTGGAACATTGTACCTAAGGCTGTGACGATTCTACTTCAATGACGATCCACAGCTGACACCCAACGCCATACGCCGGAATTCACATTGCATTCAAATCAATGGATTCTATAGCTCATCAATGAATAACAAATATTAATTAAATGCTCATACACAGCCGATCATGACGGTCCTTTCTCAAGAGTGGCACAAACATCTACAGAGTTGTATTGACACTAAAATCTAGAGGCACCAATAAAACGCAGGCTACTGGAAATGAGCTACACAGGCGCAAAATCTAAATACGTCTTAATCTTAGCTACTCCCAGCCTTTCACTGTCTCAAAATCCAGCACAGCTGCTGTTCCTTCTCTCTCCCTTCCTTGGATACCGATAGCACAGTCCCAGGCCTGCGTGTTCACGGCGACTTGTCAGGACCGGGCTGGTGGCATTTCCTAGCACTGTGACTCATGACCCTCTCAGGACACTCTGAGGACAATATGCCCTGTGCAGCGTGTTGCAGAGGCTCCCTACTGTGTGCTCTCGGCAGGCATTCCTGACAAAGGCTGCCAAAGGCCAGGACGCCTGGTCTTGAAGCAACCACAGAGAATCCATGGATGTGTTATGATACTGTGGGGCCGCAGGGCACCGGGTGGGATCAATTCAAGGAACTGTCGAGAAGTCAAGAGATACCAGGATATGAGCTTTGGCTGCCAAGAGTTAGCACGAGAAACATGGGAGATGTCTAAACAACTAGCGCAAGTGAAAGGAGCTATGAAAGGGTGTCAAATGCGGGAGTTAGTAATATGCTGTGATCAATAACGAAAATGGTAATTGCCACGATGCCAATAAACACCAAATAGCAGCATAGAGCCCATGAAATTTGTGGGATGGAAGGACATGAAGCTCATAATAAGGTATAAATCTTCCATTGGTTGGAGCAAACTGCCTGGCAATGTTGTTGTGTGGAGGGCTGAGCAGTCATTTGGCTTAACCAGTAACGTCCTGATTTTTACACTGAAAGTCCCTCACTTTGGGGAAAACCAGGACTTTGGTCATCTTCTTAGTGATGCTATTTCAACAAACCACTGGGTAGTTCCAACTACTAATATAATCATATCATCATTTTCCATGACCCGATCGAGGAAACAGAGAACAAGCTTCGTTTATTGTCATTTTTTATATTTCTCACCGAAATTCTCTGCGTTGTACCTAAGCCCTTCTGGAGGGTTCCTAACACACAGGGACAATGCAGACACTTCTCCCGTGTGTGATGTTACTTCAGGCACCAGCTCGGAGCCAGGGGTCACTTACTTTTGCTGCAGCCCCACGGGTTGCGGACATCCAAGTGGCTTGCGCCGGGAGCACAAGCGTCACACTTGGAGCCGGTGACAAATCGTTTACAGAAACACTGGCCCGTGACCAAGTGACAGGTTTCATTCAAGGCTCCCGAGATACGACAATTGCAAGGCTGGCATCTGAAAACAAGAGAAATAAAGCATCAGGGACAAGAGCGTCCTGGTTAATAATTCACAGGGCACGTCACAGGCATCTATTGGTGCGGGATCGTATGGCCTGTTCCAGCCAACATGCTGAAAAGTAGGCTTGAGTTAAACAAACCAACACAAAATAAAACAAAACAGAAAAAATATATATATCAAAATGCTGCTTATGATAAAACCTCTGTGAAGCCCCCTCTTTGTAAAGTAATTCATGGCAAAAAAGTAGAACCTTGCTTTCTCATGGGCCGCAATACATCTTATGGATTATTTTAAATCCAGCTGTTGAATTAAGAGTACGGTGAATTCTGCTCTCTCACAAAAGCAGTTTTCCTGATGGCTAAAAATTAAGATTAGGTGCCCCCCCCCCCAAAAAAATTATCTTTTCAAGAAACTAGAAAGTTGTGAAATAGAAAACTGGGTGCGATAATCACTGTTTTCCCTAAAAACCTTGAAATCCTAGATTGGGTTTTATAAAGATTGAATTTCACTAAGAAAAGAGTTTGGGGGAGGCACGTTCCAACACTGACAGTGCCTTAATAAATGTGATATTTCCTTTTACATTTTATGTACCGAACTCACTTATGTAGAATGGTTGGAGAGCGGAGCATTACTCTCATCTATGAAAAGACATTAATTATAGAAATATGATGGGAGAGCTTCACGAAGTCCGCTTAAATTTCTTGGGGCCCAAAGTTGCTGGTAAAAATCAAGTAACATGATGGGCCCGCCTATCATTTCCTCGTGAAGACGCTGGAGGGATAGAGCTCCTTCACCCTCTGCCACTTTCTGGTGTGATCTCCTGGGTAATCATTCAACACCCTTAAAAAGGCTGATAAAAGCTGAGGCTTCTAAATAAGTCAGCTGCAAATTTGTTTTATGGACTAATGTCACCTAGGGAATAAATAAGGGACAGCTTCTTCTGAAAACCACTATACTGTAGTCTGCCCTTTTTATGTCGTGATAAAAGGACATTTTCCTACAAGCAACTATATTCGGTCCTTTATGTATTCACATTGCATCCGAACTCCATTTCAAATAGAAGTGTTTAGGCTACTTCAGGATTGGGAAACTAGGCATTGAAATTAAAATGGAATTCTAGAAGCAACAGAATATTTCCTTTGCTCTTAATTTCATTATATGCTATTACTTAGAGTATATATATATA